TTGCCTGTTGAATTTCTTTTTTTTTTTGTACAAGAGTACTTGCTTGCGTGTGTTTCTGTGCATGTATAATATAACGTGCGGAACAAATACGTCATCGACTTTCTCGCGCGATTACGATTCGGGAACCGCTGGACGTAAACAGGAAACATTATAGAGGACGGGCGATTTATGGAATTATGAAAGAGAAACATCTAAAAAGGTATTATTGACTTCGATTACACGCTATTAAGGACACCGTCGAATTGATCGGGCGACCCGAAGAAAGAAGAGGACGCGCCTCTCCTCTCTCTCGCCCCGCGTTTCTCTAATACTACTTTCTAATTAATTGTCACAAAGTGAATTGACTCTAATGACACCGGTTCCCGAACGATCGTTCAGCCGTTTTAGGTGGAAGGTCGTCGGAAAAATTAGACTGGTAGATCTCTTAACATAACTTAAATCCCTACGTTCCATTTCGTTGATGCTCGAGATGCGGACCCGCGAATCTTTGCAACTTTCATTCGTCAGCGGCAGGGATGATCTCGTTTCCTCAAAAAAGGGAAACCTCACGAATCTTAGAATCCGATTAGTAAGTCTTTGACAGTCACATCGTGACTATCTTTTCGTAAATCAATATCATTGCCGTTTAAAAAGCCTAAATTTTAAGTACTTCGCCTCTGACGAATGTTCTTTCGCTTCTCCTATATGCAAACAAGAAGTTTATGTTTCCTTTTCGGATTGTGCGATCGATTGATACCGCGATGATCCGCGAAATCGATAGCGTGACTGGTCCGCTTAACGTAGATCTAAAAGGCGCCTTACTAAAAAATCGATCTCGGCGCTTCCTAAATCCTGGAAGCCGATGCGTCGATGCGTTTCAATGCCGAGATGCTGCTCGGATTCAGAAAGATACTTTCATTTTGGCCGATCGCGGATTATTAAAGCAATAATTTATCGTATTAGTTCCAATTGCCGTAACCCGAGCATCATCAACATCAAACGCATCGAAACGCTGTATCGTATTTATATATATGCATAATTCTCATTGCTCTAACGCGCTAACAATAACGGATAAACGTAGTGAACAAACACGTTGAACGTTTAATAATTGTATGAGATCTCTTCTAAGCCTTCGCGTTATTATATATTATATTATATTACATATATGTACGCTAGATATTTTTATAATCACACACTATAAAGCGTCTGCGCGATCCTTGCGATCTCTGACGGATCGCGTATCCGCGATTATTCGATTCAAAGAAACAACGAGCCACATCGACGGAGCACTCGCAGGATATAAAATATATAAGTCAATATATATAAAAAGAAAGCTTTATATAAATGTCACGTCGATTATTCGCAGCCCATTCCTATCAGTTCCAAGTCATTCATTTTTTTATTATTTTTAACCGAATACATATCATTATTTTGACGTTTTTATATAATATCTTTTCATATTTCAATATTTCCATCGCTTCTTCAATTTCTTTCCCTGCGAGAATTCCGTCGCGGAATTAATAAACTTGCCATCGATACTGATCCCGGCGCGCTCGAAAGATCAAAGGATCCCGGAAGCGGAGAGATACGCCGATTATACCCCGTGCGAGGTTTCCCTCGGTCTCAAGGAACGCGCAGTATATAGTGTTGGTTGTAGATACTTTCATCGGATAAGGCTGCGTTAATTATTGTCTCTTTCAGCGCTCGTTCGCCCTTGTGGAGAAAACCAACTCTCCCTTTGCCCCTCCCTCCTCGTCACTCTTTCTTTTTTTTGTCACGAATGAAATTTCGCTTGCTCCTCCGTTCTCGGAAAATTCCGTTTACTTTTGAGAATAGTTTTTGTTTTCGCACGGACTTTAAAATGTCTATTGTCATTTGATATTCGAGAAAAATGTGATCTTACGTGCGCTCACACTCACGCTAACAAGGGATTTCCTTTGATCTCGCGAAGTCTCGTCTCTTTCGACTTACTTGAATATCGGTAGCATTTGAACGACAAAAAATCCTAATCACTTTAATAAATTATATTTCGAGGCGCACAAAAATAATTCTTATTTTCATTGCGTACATTTCACGCAATGCACTATATATATATCGCGTGATGGAAAATGTATTTGAAAAAATTCGCACTAATCAAATAAACTACAAATCAAATAAAAGATGTAAGGATCACGCTTATGTGTTGCAAATGCGATAACAATTTTTAAAAAAAACTTGCAACTCTTACGTTCCGTAGAAACATGAATTTCAATTTCTATCGATATTCGTAGAACACGGTTAACAGTCTTAACATTTAGCCGCAGACATGACGCTCCTAAGATCTATTCTAACAAGCCGTATATATCTACTATTTCTTTTTAGTCTATATAATGTTAGGATATATATAAAACGATTAATTGTCAAAACGCATTCCTTCCATGGTACTCAGGCATTTGCGCGATATGGCTGTATAAAACGTATCACATCTTGTACCTCGATTCGAACAAGTCTTGCGCGCGACATACATAATAAGGTCTGTGGCTAAGAGTTAAGATTTGAGAGAGTTGAAACTTTACAACGATCAATTTGAAACACGCCAATTTTTTATTATAACAAACAACTGTCCGCTATACCGTCAATACACTCTGGTATAGTGACTATAATGTTGGTACAGTTGTATTGTCTGTTTGAGAGCTCTTGTATCCCGAGAGATTGAATTATTCGTTGCTTGGAAAAAATCGTAACTTGCCTGTACTTTCATTCAACTGTGAGAAATCCGTATCGATCGAACTCGTAGTCGCGAACGGAAGCAAGCAAAATACTCGTTCGTCACTTTCGATAGCACCAATAGGATACAATGCCTGTGTACTCACGCGCGAGCACGTATTGTCTGCATTCTCTCTACAACAGCCCAGAAAGAAAGAAAGCTCAAGCCCTTTTTTTCTTACCTAAAAAACTTGGAACAGTCACTTCAATTCCGCAGCAAGCTAAAGACTATACTTGTTCCGACATGCAGCTAGCTTCTAAATTCTTCCGTCTTCTCGTTCACCTTCGCTCATCAAGTAGAAAGGGGAAGGATGAAGGGAACGAAGTCGCTGAGCGTTTACCGCGATACCGTGCGCGCGTCATCGTTCGCGATCCGATCGGCCGAGACGACGACTCTTAGTTCCGGACGATCGTTCCGCGTTTGAGCAAAGCAAAGGTCGGAAACGAACGAGGCGTATTTTGCATTAGAACTTGCTGGGGCATACTGGAGGATTCATTTCGCCGAAGACGTTGAGTTCATAGAGCGACGCAAACACGATAAATATCAAGTACCAGATCATCAAGACCACGCCGTATCGCCGATCTAGCTTCCATCCATTCAAGTGTGTTGCCAGCACTAGGAATACCACCGTCGATAGCAAAGAAATGGTGGAATACGTCAAACCTGGACGAGGATGAAAGATAGACATGTAAGCGATACACGTATGCGTTTCGCAGATGCGTAACAAATAGATAAATAAATCCGCATACCTCTGCTGGTGACGTTTACATGCGAGCCAGGCTGTATCATGGCAGTCTGTATAAACCACGGAAGACCGAGGCACACCAAAATGTCGAAGACATTGCTACCTACGGCGTTACTGACCGCCATGTCGCCGAGACCTTCCTTTATGACCGCCAGCGAGGAAAGGGCATCCGGTACGCTCACGCCAGCGGCAACAAAAGTCAAGCCCATCACGGTGTCGGGAATGCCCAGAGTGCTTCCTAATAGTAAAATCGTCATTTCGCTAATGTAGTTCTATTCATTGCCGAAAACACTGTCGATTGCATTTAAACAATAATCTATTACCTATAATTGTGATCATCCACACCATTATGTAGCTGTAGAAACTGATCCAGATCATCGATATACAGAAGGTGAAGGGATACCAGCTCCGCCACTTCTCTTGTCTGCAATCCGGCATCGTCGCTCGGCACATAAAATGGATAGGATACACGAGACCCCAGGTGAATAAGGTCCATTTACTACCATCCGTCGGCATCACGAGAGGCGACACTTCATTGGGATCCGGTTCCTTTGCTTTATAGTATTCGGGCTGTTTCGGTGCTGATTGTTGTTGTTGCTGTTGCTCGGTCGTTTCTTGAACGCCATTTCCTAAAGGAAGAAGGGGATAACATTGTCAAATTTGTAGGATATACGAGAAAGAAAGATACAGATAAGAATAATTAATTACCTTCCTGATTCTTTATTTGCTCGGTAATTGGCGAGTTAGGGCCGGTATAGGATAACCGATCCTCTTGTAAGGACCTGTAACTCACCAGGGCGCTCTCCTCGGCAGGTTCGTCGTCTTTTGGCAGAAATGGAATGTTGTACGACTTTGCCCAACGTTCCAATTTAACGTTGAATGAAAGCGCCACGCAATAAACTCCGTACATGAACAGCATGAACAGAGCTTCTGGCCTGAGAAATTGATATTTCCGTTTTACGTATGTAACTTGTTATATTAATACTTTGTATTAATTTCGCAATCGGATGCAATCAAATAATCGAATACTCACCAAGATATGGAATCGTTGTAAATAGTGCCGAGCATGACGAGAATCGAAACGGCGTAGAAAAAACAGTCTCGACAGAGAGGCCACCAATTTAATTTGGAGGCGGTAGCGGAACATAGGCCGCAAATCGATATAACAAACATTATATTGAAAACGGCGCTGCCAATAACGCCGCTCACCTGAAACGGACAAGAAGAGGTTTAATTATTGGACTTTTGTCTCGTCAATTATTGCGGCGGAAACACGATAACATCTGGTGATTTCTGAGCTGCATATAGATCCACGTGACTGACAATACTAGTGAGATTCCTCACAATTAAAAGAACAAAACTTCTCACTTGTTATGTAAAATATTATTCTTTGATAATTGACGCTTCCTGATATTTTAACATAGCAAAATATGTAAGATACGGTTAACTTACTCCAATGTCATCCTTGGCGAAAAACACACCGATGATCACCGTCGCTAATTCGGGCGCGGAAGAGCCGGCTGCCATGAAGGTGGCTCCGGCGACATCGGGAGACAGTCTTAATTCTGAGAAAAAATAATAATAAAGTCAAGTCACAGGAGAGCTATCTTTGAATTAGACGAGTTTAAACGCATCAGGAATATAAAAGCATAGCATTTTTTATTGTAAAAGAAAACGAGTTAACCATGATTTGTATTATCGTCTCTTGATAATGGATATCATCAGTTCACATAGGATGAAACATGATCTTCTTGCGTAAAACAGACTACGCAAAACATTATGTAACTTGGAAGTGAGATTATCGTCTTACAACCAAGAGAGGATCTGTACGCTAAACTCACCTTCGCAGATTCTGTCCAGGCTCGAGACAAAATAATCATCGCATACTATAGCGAGGCCCAAAAATGTATAAATTGCGACTAGAACGTGTATTATGAGCCCGCCGTGTTTTCTAGCCTCCGGGCCCATCAACGGTTGTGGAAACTGTTCTATGGCGGGCGCCGAACAATTGGATCTTCGCGGTCTCACGGTAGGGTACGGATAAGGCTTCGTCACTTGGGTCGTTTGAATAGTTGGAATGACCTGGGTCAAGAAAAATTTAAAATACTTCATCAATTATTATTAACATAAAAATTAATTAATCATGTGTATTCATAATCATTTGATTAATCGTTTGCTCTCTACATTTGATCTTCCGGAGATATTGCGAGTCATCGGAAGTCATCATAACACAACGTCAAAATCTTGATTCGCAATGATGATCTAACTGACATATTGACCCATATTAAGTTGGCCCCCCCCACCAACGCCAAATAAAGTTGCATCTATCAAATAATTTAGTGCTAATTATGTGCTAATTTGTTGCCGTAGTCCGGATTTTGTTGCTCAAACCGTTTAGCAGAAATTTATGTTCGAAGTGGGGGGGGGGGGCAGCTTGACATTAAGCCAGCCCCCCCCATAGTGAAAAAAATATATAGAATGCTCGAATCAAATAAGCAAATAGACCAAAATTTGTTGCTATTTTGTTGCTCTAAAGTAACACAAAAACCTTTAAAAAAAAGTATATTATTTAATTAATATCACTATACACTCAGTCTCGCCGCGCCGTGCCATCCACTTGCGCGAAGTAAAAGTAACTAAAAGAATTTGTTGCGTGCATGTTTTTGATATTAAAATAATCTGTAGACAATATACTACCGAAATATATAAAAGATTAAATTTGTTGCTCGTTCTATTCTAAAGCATTGAAACTCGACACTATTTCCGCGGACCCTATACGACGCGGTCTTATACCATATAAGTTAACTAAAAGAATTTGTTGCTCGCATGTTTTTGGTATTAAACTAATCTGTGGACAATGGACTATCAAAATATATGAGATTGAATTTTTTGCTTGTTCTAACATATTGAAATTCGACACTTTGTCTCCATAATCTCAAGAGATAAATATTGTAACATATATCCTCTTCCTCTCAATCCTCTCCATTCTCTACGTCTTCTCTGTTTGCTGTTAACATGGATGCGTAAGTTTCTTCGAACATTATTAATTTGTGGATCTACATGGATCGCGTTGCGCAGCGTTTGTAATTCTTCATATATTTTTTCAATAGACGGCATTTGGGTTTGCGGTATTGGTGCAGGTTGTAATGGTGTAGGCAGTGGTGGTGTAGGCGGTGGTGGTGTAGGCGATACTGATATTGTTGCAGGCTAAAAGCAAGCAAAATAAATAATTTATATAAATTATTATTATGTTTATATATTATATGTTGCGTATGTGTTGTATGTACAATTCTGTATCAATATTTGTTAAATACACGGTGGCTCGAAATTTAAGGATAATATGATTGCAGCATAAAATTTCGTAAAAAATTAGGTATTGAAAATACATGCTATTTTCTTTAAAAAAAATTTTTTTATAAGGTGAAGATTTAAAGTTTGATCAATGATGAGTGTTGGTTAGAAAATTATTTATATATATGATTATACGTGATAGTGTGTGAACTGCAATTAATTTTTTGTCTAACATCAATGATAACAGATACGGTTAATACCATAGACATAGCCCAGACAGCACAAAACGTCCTCAGGATCATCCTGAATATGTCCAAGATGGTTCAGGATATTTGTAGGATGTTTTAAGATATTATTATAAATATATTTTATGAAAATTTAATATGCATACATGATTACTTTCGGTTATGTAGGCTATTTAATATAATTTAGAAATTTTAAGTATTGTAATAAGTATTAATGTCCTATAAATGTCCATTGGATAACCCCTGGATGTCTGTAGGATATCTGCCCTGTCTATTACCCAGACAGCACAAGGATGTCCTTAGGACGTCCAAAGGGCATCCAATATAATAGACAGGGCAAATATCCTACAGACATCCAGGGGTTATCCAATGGACATTTATAGCACGGTGGCTCGAAATTTAAGGATAATATGATAGCAGCATAAAATTTCGTAAAAAATTAGATATTGAAAATACATGCTATTTTCTTTAAAAAAAATTTTTTTATAAGGTGAAGATTTAAAGTTTGATCAATCATGAGTGTCGGTTAGAAAATTTTTTATATATGATTATACGTGATAGTGTGTGAACTGCGACTAATTTTTTGTCTAGCATCAATGATAACAGATACGGTTAATACCAATGTGCCGCCGATTCGGAGGATTTATTAACCAACGTTTATGATTGGTCAAATTTTTAATCTTTATATCTGAAGAACTACTTCCTAAATAAAAAAAAACAATATTAAATTTTATTATATAATTTTTCACAACTTTATATATTTGCATGTTACCTTTAAAATATATTTTGTCGTTTGTGGCTGCGTTTGTAGAAATTTCTTCACGTACAGACTTCGATCGGATTGCTGGTTCTGCGGTGAAAGATTTTCTTTGCCTGCTTCGGCTGTAAGTTTTAATAATTTTTGTCTGCGTCTAAGTTTTTTTTTGGCGAGAACGGCGTAATTGACTTCGCCTAATCCTTTTTTTATTTTTTTCTATAATTACAATAATGTTTGTACAAACGCTCGGTCTAGATATACTATGTCTATGGTTAATACCAATGTGCCGCCGATTCGAAGGATTTATTAACCAACATTTAAGATTGGTCAAATTTTTAATCTTTATATCTGAAGAACTACTTCCTAAATAAAAAAAAACAATATTAAATTTTATTATATAATTTTTCACAACTTTATATATTTGCATGTTACCTTTAAAATATATTTTTTCGTTTGTGGCTGCGTTTGTACAGATTTCTTCACGTACGGATCTTGATCGGATTGTTGGTTCTGCGGTGAATTTTCTTTGCCTGCTTCTGCTGTAAGTTTTAATAATTTTTGTCTGCGTCTAAGTTTTGTTTTTTGGCGAGAACGCCATAATTGACTTCGCCTAATCCTTTTTTTATTTTTTTCTATAATTACAATAATGTTTGTATATAATATATTTTGTTTTTAAATGCTTGATTTATCCATTCATCTATCCGTTCATACATACGAGATGTTAGCAAAAAGTTTCCGAAATTATGTGTTGCACGGAAATTATGTTTATTAGCTACTTATGGCTCTAGATAATATTGCATGCATCCTTCGTGAATCGGGTGACGTCACGCTGGATAAGTCATTGAAATTTTACATGCAGTTCTTTTGGCAGTGTATTTCGCGTAATTAATGATTGTTGTGATGGTCGAATGTAAGAAAGCAACGTAGTTGCATCAAGCATCGCAACAGTTGTCGATTACGCTACATTTATTACTAACAATATAAATGTATATAAATCTTCAATGACTCTTGCAATCTGACGCCACTTGGCAAGTAGTAAGCACAAAAGATATATGCAGTATTTAGTGCCATAAGTCCTGCTAAACATAGTTCCTTGGTAATATTTAAACTTTAGGTACTTTTGGCTAGCATCTCGTGTGTGCGCACACGCACATACAAACACACACACACACACA